AACAAACTAGAAGAAAATGGGATTGCATGTGTATATGTAGTATATGCAGCTGGTATATATTTCCTTCAAGTTACAGAGGTTATAATATAGTATTTCATGGTACATTTATCTCGATATCTCATATGAAGGGAAAGAAAGGACCACACCCCTAAGGATATGATATAGACGGTCTATTCTAATGCAAGCATTAGTGATTATTTTTAGTTTTCCACGGATTGAACGCATGACTTATATCACACGGAGACAATTTGATTGTTGCTCCAAGACAACTCTTCTCAATATATAATACAGATGTACTTAAATGACCAAAAAATGCTTTAAATAAAGGAGGTAAAATGGTGCAGCATGTTTCTGAATAAACAATATGCTACAAAACTTGTCATTACAAATTAACTTTTATTCAACACAACAAAAACTTAAAAGGAAAATCTCTCCATCTAGCATACAAAAAGAAGTCTAGTGGTTAAATTTGCTTCAAAACTTTTTCAGCTGCAGCTATAGTCCTTTGAATATCCTCTGGAGTGTGTGCTAAGCTGGTAAATCCAGCCTCAAACTGTGATGGTGCAAAGTAAACACCTTCCTCCAGCATCCCCCTATAGAATCTGCCAAATTTTTCTGTATCACTCTTCTTAGCATCCGAAAAGTTATAGACGGGACCATCCGTGAAGAAGAAGCCAAACATCCCCCTTATGAACCCGCCACACATTGCATGACCGGTCTTCTTTCCAGCATCCAAGATTCCTTGTGTAAGTTCGCCTGTGATCTTGTCCAAGTGTTCGTATGTTCCCTGTCCTTGTAACCGCTTAAGCGTGTGAATTCCAGCAGTCATGGCCAATGGGTTTCCACTTAGGGTGCCAGCTTGATACATTGGTCCTGCAGGTGCTACCATCTCCATTATATCCCGTCTTCCTCCGTATGCACCTACTGGCAAGCCACCGCCAATAATCTTCCCAAGTGTCGTCAAATCTGGAGTTATTCCAAAATACTCTTGAGCTCCACCATATGCCAATCTAAATCCAGTCATAACTTCATCGAAAATAAGAAGTGCGTCATTCTCTTTGGTGATCTTGCGAATGGCAGCAAGAAATTCTAGCTTGGGTGGGATGAAGCCAGCATTTCCAACTACAGGCTCGAGAATTACAGCGGCAATTTCTCCTTTGTGCTCCTCAAAGAGGCTCTCAACAGCAGAAATGTCATTGTAAGGTGCGGTCAGAGTATCAATAGTAGCTGCCTTTGGAACTCCTGGGGAGTCGGGGAGACCGAGGGTGGCAACGCCACTGCCTGCTTTAACAAGAAATGGATCAGCATGACCATGGTAACAACCCTCGAATTTGATGATCTTAGGACGGCAAGTGAAAGCACGAGCCAGCCGTAGTACTCCCATACATGCTTCTGTACCAGAGTTGACAAATCGAACCATTTCTATGCTTGGAACAGCTGAAATAACCATCTCTGCCAGTGTATTTTCAAGGAGACATGGAGCACCGAAACTCGTTCCTTTCTTCATTGTTTCAGCCAATGCTGCTAGCACCTGCAGGGAAAGGTCATACCAAGATTATTGCCTCAAAAACAATGGAAAAAGCATTAAAAACTTTCCCTCTCGTGTTCGTACCTAAACCTTCCACGCCAACAAGGACTCTCCCCACCTACAGTACTGACACTTTCAATCAACTATGTTTCCTATTGTACAGCGTAAGACAGAGGGGCATAGAAGATTTTGAGGTGTCTTGCGCAATAGCTCTTAAAGCTGAACTCGAGAGAATCCAGTTGACCTATTGGTTCTTCTTCTTCGTCAGAAAGAAGAAGGAGAAACAAGTGGATGAAACATTTACACATTCCCACCTAGGTCTACAATGTAGACATGTTCTACTTGAGTTTTCACTTCATCCATCCAATAAGCAACACAGTTCACTCAACCTCCAACCAAATCGTTCCCAGTTAAAAAATGCTCATTAGTCAACTTTTAATAATACTGATTTATACACTTTATCACGGGAACCGTCTACAAGAAGGACATCAAATACCAATTTCTATTTAAGAAAAAGAACAAAAGAAGCACCCAAGGGTGTGGCCTAGTGGTCAATAAATGGGTTAAGAACCATGAGGTGTCAGGTTCACATCCCAGTAAAAGAAAAAAACTTAAACCATATGTTTTTCGTAGTCATAAATAGTCATCTAAGGCCAAAGTAATTCAATGGTTCTTCCATAATACAAAAAACTTTCCGAACCTGTATTGAGAGCAAAGACAATAAGAAGCTTTAAGATGGAGTTTCTGAAACATGTTACCAAATACAAAGCATGTAGATGCAGTAATAACTTATTACTAACAAGCCAGGCCAAATAAATGCACAGTGGCTAATGAAATTTCAAGCTTAACATAGAGTTGAGAGTAGAGAACTAAACCTCATCATCTGCATGACCAATTATAGCTGGTCCCCATGATCCGACATAGTCAATGTACTCGTTACCATCTATGTCCCGCATACGGGAGCCCTTCACAGAGTCAATAATGATAGGTTGTCCGCCAACTGACTTGAAAGCACGGACAGGGGAATTTACACCTCCTGGCATCAACTCCTACCAACAGTAAAACACGAGATGAAATCAATGAAAGAACTCGTAAGGACTAAGGATCAATAAAATTGATTGAATCTTTCCTCCTCCTTCGCTTTCGGGAGTATTATGCTGCAAGAGACTAATGTATAGAGATTTTGAGCACAACACAAGAAGAATAACATGAATCCAGTGTCCCTTTGTATATTGAAGGCTTACATCACATAACTGAAAAATTAGTTGAACTGTATTTTCAGGTTCAAAGTGTAAGTCCCTTTTCAAGTAAGGACAAAATGTTGTACAATTTGTTCTTCCTCAAGAGCCATTTTTCTAACCTTTTACCCCATCTAGAAAATGTGATAGGTTTTAGCATTTTCCCCTTATAGGTTCCAATCTCAGTAAGTCATATCAGAAGATACACAAGAAGCAACAGAATATATAAAGGGAAACGGAACCAACTAAAGCAAAGAAACATATTTTGCTGCAGAAATTTTGCTACAGTATCAGATTCCTCAATATATCTCCTCTTTGTAGTCAAACAACCTACGATTTTCATGAAATTTAAACAGTGATATAAATTACGCCTTTTCAGCACAACTATCATCTAAAACATACTCAAGGTTCTCATGAAGTCACAAATAGATCACAGTTAAGCTATACTAACTTATATGGGAGGACAACTAGACCGTATGTCAGATCAGATAGCACTGGTTTTACATCAATTCATGCCAAAATGGCAGGCGAACCAACTGTTAGGCTAAAATAACCCAAAGATACTTTTAACATGGTGCAATATTGTCCACTTTGGACTAAGACCAAACCCACACGGTTTTCTCCAAAAAAAGCCTCACACCATTAACAATATTACTACAAAGTCTTTCACTTTCTTTTCAGCTAAGACTTTGTTTGCACACCTAACACCAACTTTATCAAATCAACATCTCCTTCTTCTTCTCTTCACCCAACCCAAATATCTTAAAGCTAGCAATTTTAAGCTCCCACTATGCTTGGGGTGGAAGGGCTGGACCACAAGGGTGTATTGTATGCAGCCTTACCCTGCATTTCTGCAAAAGGCTGTTCCCACAGCTTGAGTCCATGACCTCCTGGTCACATGAAAACTCCCCTCCAATTTTACCAACAATATTAGCAGGAAAAATCAAATCTTGACCCAATACAGTTCAAATCAAAGAATAAACACTGAACAATATCCATAATCTTGAATCTTATCACCACCTTATCTAGAAGATGAGGTGGATCCATGATTTTAAGTTTATGGATTTTTGAACCTTACGTCTTTTTGTCTAATGAGTACTGAATAACATTTAACAAATCGAATTGTATCAAGAACACAAAGCCAAAAAAAAACTGAATTTTGATTACCTTGGCTTTGCTGAAAGCTTCTTCAGACTTCTCAAGTGTGAAAGTTTTCTTCTTTTCATCAACTGAGGCTGTCATTCTAATGGTTGCAGCCGAAGAAGAAGATGGGTTGCATCGACGGTGAGATGGAGAAAAACCCCATTTGGGTGTTTGAGTTTTGGTCAATTTTGATGGCCATGAAAGTCCTACACCATTTACAGCAGCCATTGTTACCAACTCTTCCTCTTCTCTCTCTTTGAGTATTCTTGAATTGGTGCTGCAATGGGTTTTCTTCTAAATTTTTTGTGTTTTAAAGTGGCCTTGTCTTGACTTATGATGAAGATAAGGAAACCAGATAGGGAAATCTTAAGAAAGCAACATTTTTTTAATTTTTTTTTTTGGTAAAACAAAGTGAATTTTTTTTATAGGGAAAATTACCTAATGTAGTGGTTTTAGCCCTTTTTATTGTAAAAAATATATAAATACATTTTTATAGTAGATATACAAAATATATCGTAGTTGTTGTGTAGCTCTCTCAATAGATTGTTTTACTCGTGGCTAGGGCCATCTCAACAAGATTGAGATTTAAAATCAAATTCTATAGAGAGATCTTATTTCTTTTAATTTACATGTATAAATTGACTAGCTATAACTTACTTAGTGTAATCCTATAAATGAGATCGTAAAACGTAGGATAGAGTGTATTTACTCATGTTGTAAGATCGGGATAGTCAAGTAAAGGGGTACTTTTAAAACTATCAATAGTTCGAAAATGAAGCTAATAATTTACACAAAATTTAAAAATACTTTCAATACTTCTCTCTAAGTTATATGAAATAATAAAATGTGTTTAAAAGAAAAAAATAATATATTTATTAGGAACAATGCATTTTTAATTTAAGGAACAAAAGAAATACTTTTGGACCAAACTATTAGCCATATACATTTTTGGATCAAACTCTTAGATGATTTTGATATTTTTAAATAAAACTATAAAACACATATTTTTATTCTATTTCACATAATTCCAACCTATTTTGACCTCAAATATTCAAATCAACACTAGTGAAATACTATTTCTCCATTTTTTTGCTTTGTAAGGTAACCTTCTAAATTGGGATGGTAAGAGTGAGGTAGCTGGAGATGTTGAATGTTACAGTGTCTTCAAATTCTGCCACTCTAACACAAACATTCATCACCTTTCTTGAAAAATGCAAATCAATTTCAGAGTTCAAGAAACTTCATGCTTTGTTAATAACCTGTGGCATTTCCAAAGAAACTCAATTCAATTCAAGAATCCTCTGTTTCACAGCATTATCTGATACCTCCAATATAGACTATGCTCATCGTGTTTTTCTACAAATTAAAAACCCAACAATCTTTGATTACAATGCTCTTATAAGGGGTTATTCTAACAGCAAAAACCCATGTAAATCTTTGTCTTTATTTGTTGAAATGTTGCAAAATGAGGTTTTTCCGAACTATTTTACGTACCCTTTTGTTGTTAAGTGTTTAGCTAAGTTGTCTGAGGTTAGAATTGGTAGGAGTGTTCATGGTGGGGTTATGAAAAATGGGTATGATGTGGATTTATATGTTTCGAATTCTTTGATTCATATGTATGGTTCTTGTGGTGATGTTTTGTGTGCGAGGAAGGTGTTTGATGAAATGCCTGTGAAGAATTTGGTGTCGTGGAATTCGATGTTGGATGGGTATGGGAAATGTGGGGATGTTGTTTTGATGAGGGAGGTGTTTGATTCGATGATTGAGAGGGATGTTGTGTCGTGGAGCTCTTTGATTGATGGGTATGTTAAGGATGGAGAATATGCTGAGGCGTTGGCGATGTTTGAGAAAATGAGAGTGGAAGGGCCAAAAGCGAATGAGGTGACCATGGTGAGTGTTTTGGGTGCTTGTGCTCACTTGGGTGCGCTTGAGCAAGGGAGGGTAATGCATGAGTACGTGGTTGAGAATAAGTTGCCTATGACTTTAGTGTTGAGGACGTCGCATGTTGATATGTATGCTAAGTGTGGTGCAGTAGAGGAGGCATTAGTTGTGTTTCGAGAGGCTTTAAGGCGCAAAACCGATGTCTTGATTTGGAATGCCATGATTGGAGGTTTGGCAACACATGGCCTGGTTACTGAGTCTTTGGAGTTGTACAAGGAAATGTGCGTTTTAAAGGTGAGACCAGATGAGATTACGTACTTGTGTCTTTTATGCGCTTGTGCTCATGGAGGATTAGTTAAGGAGGCTTGGTGTTTCTTTGATTCTCTTGGTAAAGATGGCATGACAGCAAAGTGTGAGCATTATGCCTGCATGATGGATGTACTAGCACGTGCAGGTCATTTAACAGAAGCCTACCGGTTTCTATGTGAAATGCCTATGGAACCGACTGCTTCCATGTTAGGTGCACTACTTAGTGGCTGCATCAACCATGGAAGGTTGGATCTTGCAGAAATAGTAGGGAAAAAGCTTATCGACTTGGAGCCATTTCATGATGGTAGATATGTTGGGTTATCAAATGTATATGCGCTTAAAAAGCGTTGGGATGAGGCAAAAGCCATGAGAGAAGCTATGGATACTCGGGGAGTGAAGAAATTGCCTGGTTTCAGTGTTGTGGAGATTTTTGGGGCTCTTCACAGATTCATAGCACATGATAAAGCACACCCTGAATCGGATCAAATCTACACGATTCTAGATTTTGTTTTGTGGCAAATGAAGCTAGGTAGAGATTGTGAAGAGCAAGAACAATTGTTATGTGATATCAATGTAGGAATTGGTAATGGAGATGATAGCAGTGCCTTGCAGATGAATGATTTTTCGCTATAAGATCAAGATCACACAGTTCGTTTTGAGCAGTATAGGGCGGAGAGCCACCTATCGGTGCTATGATACATTATTGTACTACTCAGATTGCAGTGAATCCTCCTAACCATACGTTGAGGGTGGCTTAGAGAGCCCAGTAAACTCATTACTATCTCGTAAGTGCATTTTGCTAGAAGGAACTACTATGAAGCAAAGTAAATATGTACACATTTGAAATAAGGAAGCACATTCTTGTATACCAATAATGAGTTTTGCAAAGTGATCTTACTCTTTGTTATCGTCTCCTTTTGCAGGTCGTGACTGAAATAGGCTAACACATTGAAAACCAAGATTCACAGCATACGCCAATCTTTCATTGCCATTGCAATGCATGTGTAGGCATAGCTCACTCTATACATTTGATATTGACCCCTATTGATGTATGTATCTTGATTGAATACGATTGTTGCAGTCACAGAAATTGGGGACGGAATTCCTTGAAGAAATCTCAAACTTGAAGGAAACTCCTGGTCATTTCGAAAAATGAACCTTCTCCAACTTGCAAATGTGAATGTCTCCAGATATCAATACCCTTGACTATGTATTGGTATTGGCTTGAAGTAATGTACTTGTCATTTACTATGAGACACTATCTGATGTACAATTATAATACAGAACTAAAAAGTTTACAGGGAGAACTCATTGGAGTTGATGAAGTTATATTATTGGAGTAATCAGAAATGGTAGCATTGATCTTTTGAGTAATCATTCTCCAAAAGTGTGTTACCTGTGGTCTTATCCAAATTACCAAAACACAAAACTTATACAGTTGATCGAATGACATATTTGCTCAATTTCACATACTTTAAGAGCATATTTGACCCTTTTTCACTTATTAATTATCTGGTTGGGTTATTTGGTGGTTGTCATTTAAATAAAGCACAGATTTGGACCAAATATTGGCCTTTAAGGGCATATTTGACCCTTTTCCAGAAAATGTGGCTGATGATGGTGATTGTACAGTTACGATTGGTGGTGATTGTGCAACAATGACCAAAGATGAATGTTGTTCAGTTGCGGCTAGCAACAGTGACTGATGCTAGAGGTGGGTGGTCGTAGGTGGTGATGGTGGTGAACTGTGGTGGTTGTGGGGTAGAGATCCATGGTGAAAGTGATTGCTGATGGTGGTGGTTAAACAAGATGAAGAACAAATGAAACTAATGAAGAAAGTAAACAAAATGCCAAGGAAACAGAAAATAATAATACTCTTTCCATTTCAATTGGTTAATCTTACTTTCCTTTTTAATCCATTTTAACCACAAGATTCAAAAGTCTTCTTTTTACTTTCTAAACTCCGTATCAAATTAGACAAACAAATTGAAATGGAGGGAGTATGAGAAAAGGGAAATGTAGGAAAACAGTTTTTTTAAAAGGAACACAAAAAGACTACAACCAAATGAGTTATCTTCAAAGAATTCATTGAAACTTTTCAATTCTGCCAGAGATCAAGGTAACAGTCATTAGCAAATCCAGAAATGACTCAAATGAGTAGGTACAATTACAAGGTTGAAATTTATCAAACACTATCCTTGGGAGCTGCAGGTGAGAGAGCCTTTCTTATTCCTCCAAAATAAGATATCACACATATTTGCCCATCAACACAAGAAGATCAACTAGATCTCATCAGGATAGCTTAAACAACAACGAAAGATAGAGGTTCTACAGTTGAGACTCCAGTTATCAGTACTTGCCCCAAATCACCATACACCTCCTAAACAAGCTGTAAGCATAGCTTCTAGATCTTATGAAAGACCCCTCTTTTGTCAGAAATGGGTTCATCGTAGTTGAGCTTCATCAACCTGTAGTGGCGATTTCGTTTAACAATGCAAAATCCTACAAATGAAAGTTACAACAAAAAAGCTTCCTCAAAATTGCACGGAAGAGAAACCTGATAAAGTTCAACACCGAAGTGTATCTAGTTATGCTGCCAGATCTTTTATTTCGTATAATATTGGCCTGAGATGAGCTTATAAGGAGTGACACGGTCAGTGAGGATTCATATAGCCGACTCAACTTGTTTTCTGCTGAAGCGATGCAGTTGTTGTAGAATACCTTTCTCTGTATCAAGCAGGTCCTGCTGTAGTATCTTTCTGTTTTACCATGAGAGGGATGCATATCTCTTTCAATATACATTTTGGGTGACTGATGCTCCATTGTTTGCAGATCGCTGCTGCAATTTTTGCCAACATTATCCAGAAAACTATAGAAACAGGAAACTATCATTCTGAATGCAGACAATTTCATAAATTGGCATTCTGCAGTACCAACTACAACCTTTCTGTTGTTAAGAATTCCAGAATCATTTTCATTTTTTGGCAAGTCAATTTCATTCATGAACAAAAACTATTGAGAAAAATGTGTCATACGACTCAAACTCATTCAGCCAAAGTTGTCTATCAATATTGTCCAATTATTAATAACTTTTTTTCTGTTTGCTTCTATTTCCATGATCTTCTATGCATACTCTGTCACAAGCTTCATTCATCACTATCTATGAGGGCAATATAGACTTTATAGGTAATATGGACCACTGAAATATTTTGGTGTTGCATAAACTTAAATTTTAATATATGTAAAACTACATCATCTGTATTGTGCTTGAAAAATGTAATGTGTGTGTGTGTGCATATGAGATGAAACACAAAATGCACTTGGATACCAGAGACAGGATGCAATTGTAATGCGTACGGAGTTGTACCTGAGATGCGCAGATGCCTTAACGGACTTAGTGACTGGTCCCACATACAGCCACCACGCTTCTTTGCTACTTACTAGAGTTCACGCATCAATTCTCCTCAACATACAAAGTCCCCTCAAGCTTTTCAACCAAATCTAATCATTCTTGAAACATTTAATAAAACAAATTGAGGTCACAATAGAAAGAGTTGCTTAGACAACGAGCAGAAAGCTGCAAGACACATACTCCTCAGCCTGTTGCCATTATATCAAATGTAGGGTCTAGAACTTTTCATTGACGATGAAATAATGAGTAGAAACTAGCCAGTACACCAAAACCAGCAAAGCATAGAGCTCGACACTTGATGCTCTTCAATTCCTAACTTTTGTTCTTAATCCTATGCAACTATAGATGACAGATGACAGATGAGGTCAAGACATCTAATATATCTTATCATGTCATCCAATTTCATTGACATTACAGAGTGCTGCAAGGTGACCCTCCTCCAACAGGATTTTTAAATTTGAGGACGTCCTTGGATCCGCTGACAGGGAAAGTATTGCCTCTTTGAGAATAGGACGACTCTTACTATTTAAATCTTGAAGAGACTCATCATGGACCACCTTTTGTAGTAGGTCACACGCTTCATTAGGATTCATATTTTTTATAAAAGCATCTATTAGCACTATGTAGATCGATGGATCGGGTTTCATATCCTTCCTCTCCATTTCCTGCAGATAAATCAGAGCATCATCTGGCTTCCAACACTTGCACAGACCACTAATGAGAGCCATAAAAGTTATTCTATTTGGAGAGCACCCATTTGCCTCCATTTTGACCAAAAGACTAATAGCATCACTTGGTTTGCCGGCATTGCATAACCCATCTATTAAAGTGGTGTAAGTGATAACATTGGGCTCCCGTTCTTTTACATTCATCCTAGTGAGATATGCAATTGCCCGATCTACATCACCATTTTTGCACCACCCATCAATCAGTGAGTTGTAGGTAACAACTGATGGAATAAGCCCCTTATCCATCATTTCATCAAGAAGATTCTGGGCTTCAAGTACCCTTTTGGCCTTACAAAGCCCATTTATCATAATGTTATAAGCAACCACATCAGGGCAATAACCCCGAGAACAGATCCCTCTGAAAAGATTCAGTGCTTCATCCAACTGTTTAATCTTAACAAGGCCGTCTATGACTGCCGAATAACCAACTACATCAGGGAGAAATCCTTCTTGAACCAGGTCAGCAAGAAAGTTAGAAGCTTTGACTGCTTGCCCATCTTTGCAAAGTTTCTTCATGAGCAGTGTGTAATATTTTATCCAAGGTTGATGGCCATGCACACGCATCTCCCTCACTATAGCAAGGGCACCTGCATCATCCCCTTGCCTACATAAGCATCCAAAAATTGAGTTGTATGTGTAATGTGTCGGCTGAAATTCTGACTGTTTCAGCTCATCCAAAAGCTCATAACACTCATTGAGTCTACTGGCCCTACTCAAGGAATCAATTAAATTATTGTAAAGTAGCACACTGCGTTTACAGCCAATAAGGTCCATATCTCTAAACAGGTTGAGAGCAATTTCCAACCTATCCGCACGACACAAACCATCAATAACTATTTCAAAAGAAATGGTATTAGGACAAGCAAGTTCCTTCATGGGGAAAAGATTGTCCTCATTAAAATCACCACCAGAGTCAAGACCCATTGATGCAGAAAGTAGACGATATGCTTTATCAGTTGAACCATTGTTAATAAGTCCTTTCAGCACAGAATTATACAACAACATCCTAGCTTTCAGATCCAGACTCTCATACCTCCCCTCAACTATCCTGATCATGTCTCTTTCATCACGCACACAAGACATAAGGTCACTAAGTATTTTAATATCAGGATGGACTCCTGAAACATTCATATCCTCGTACAGCTGCATAGCTTTCTCAATCTCCTTATTCCTAGACAACTCTTCTATTAGCACGCCATAAACAGAAATGTCCAGCACAAAACCCAATTTCTTCATTTTATCCAACAGTTGCAACGCTTTATCTGTTTTACCTTCCCTCACAAAACCATGAATCAAAACAAAACATGTCTTCTCATTTAAGCTAATGTTAAGATCTTCTATCCTCTCAACCAACTCAAATGCCTTGTCTACCTTACCCCACTTACTAAAAGAAACCAACAAGATCGACAAAACATGTGCATCGACCAATCCCTTTACGTGCATCTCATTAAACACAACCAACGCATTTTCAAAATTCCCCACATTACAGTAACACTGCAAAACTGGTGTGTAGGCATACTTATCTAGCTCCCACCCATAGCTACACATCTCCTTCAATCTCAGCTCAATTAAACCAACATCACCAGCCTTAGATACAGCATCTAACAAACAATTATAAGTAAAACAATTCGGAACACAAAGACCTGATTTTTTCATCTGATCAAACAACTCATTTGCCTCCTTAACCAACCCTTGATTACCCAAACACCTTATAAAGAAACCCAAACCACGAGGCGTAAAATAACACTGAAATCTAACTACATCATTAACCAACACTCTCATTGAGTCAATCTGTCGACCACCTGATAAGCACTCTGCCATCAAGTTAAAAGTATGACAATTATGTCGATACCCTTTTAAATTCGAAGCCCAATTAAAAAATAAATGAGCTATTCTCCAATTTCTAAACTTTCTAAGAACAAATTCAACAATAAAAGTAGTAATCTTTGAACCCAACTCATCAAGTTCTTGGCTTTTTGATGAATCAAGAGGCTTAGTGAATATGTGTACAAGTCTATCAGCGATTCTTGAATCGTCTGAAGAAATTGGGGGAAGGGGATTTGGAGGTTTTGGGCAAGTGGGTGTTGAAGAAAATGGAGAAAGATTGTGTTTTGTAAAAGGGGTTTGAATCAGAATGTTGTTGTGAGTCCATATATTGAGGAGTTGTTTGATTGAATTGGAGAAAAGCAAATGGGGTCTTCTGATTCTACACAGAGCAGCCATTGATGTATTTTTGGGGAAGAGTGGTGAGTATTTAAGTGTGTAATGGGAGTGTTACCCCATTGTCCAAATTTCTTGGAACAAGAAAGTGTGAATGGTAAAATTGGAGAGCTTTATAGGCTCACAGGTTTGGTTATGAGAAGAGAAAATGATAAAAATGGACTACTATGTTTCAAAGTTTTTTTTTTTTTTTTCGTTTTACGGAGCCTAACATGCTTTCTAATAAAAGTGATTCCTAATTCGGGAGCTTGAATCCAAAATATTCTGAAATCTCTGATTAAAGATGAAGAAGTACTAATCATTCCGCTGCTACCAGGGCCGGCTCTTGCTTAATAAATTTAAGGCATATGCCTTGGGGGCCTCAAATTTTCATGAAGAAAAAATTATGTGTTAACTTTTTTAATAAAGAAATAATTATTTATGCTTAAAAAGTATAATTTTAAATAAATATACTATTTTATTATTTTTAGCGCCATTCAAATAGAAAGAAATTAAGAAAACATTATTTTGAATGTTTACATTCTCTTCGCTAACACTCATATTATTTATCTTTTTAAAATTTTTTTGTACTTTTTTTAATTTTTTTTTTTATAAGCTAGAGTAATACACTATCAAAATTATAAATTAATAGTCGAAAAGTATAAAACAAAATGACTTACAATTTTTCTTTTATTTGTTTCTTCTTAAATTTTCAAGTATTACATAAACATATTAAAGTAGGGTTATACCAAGTTATCAATTTCTTATATCAAATTTTATGGTTTTAATCCTTATCTTTATGTAAAGTTTGTCAACTTATTACTTATAGAATTATGTTAACAATTTATATAATGATCGCCTCAGTAAAAGAATGTTTTTCAATGTTGAATTGATAAAATATTACCTAAAATTAATAATAAAAAATGATATTCGATAAAATCATTTTAAAAAAAGATATCAAGTAATAATTTGCACTTAAAAAGATAAAAAAAAAAAAACAACTATATTTGAAATTTAAATATTTTAGGCCTCAATTAAAATTTCTCTTTAGGCCTCAAATTACCTTGAGCCGCCCTTGGCTGCAACAATAATTTGACTACCAAGAACTTTAATGTCTGTATTACAATTTCAAACGATAAAACTTGATTTTAATTATTTTATATTTTTTTCTCAAATAAACCACCACAACATTTGTTGGTAACATTTATGTTTCAAGTTTAAGTATGCACTATTGCATTTAAATTTGTCAAAACTACTAAAATCAAAGTATATCAACATTTGTTTATATTAATTGTTTATAACACGTAAAAGGATTATATATCAATTGTTGATATCATATAAAAAAGGATTATTGTATCAATTGTATGGAGATATATAATTTATCAATTCGACACCCTAAAATAGTCCAATACCTTATTGGTAATCTATAATTTGCTCATTTGGTAATATTATATAAAAGCTAAAAAGATTTATATAATTTTCACAAATTATGAGATTTTAATATCTACGAGAGAATACAATTTAAAAAAGCCAAACTACATGTCCAAATAACATTTCAACTTCAACTCAACCTAATTTCAAACCATGATTTTAAGCTAAGAAAAAGGTAGGCCATCATGAATCAGCTTTATATTTTTATTTTCTCTCTATCCAAGAAGCTCATCATAATCATACTTGATCAATTTTTTACAGTTCAATTGAACATTGTTCTATCAGTTCTTCCAGTTTTGTCATTAAGTATACAACATATTCCAGCAACCAAGTAACTTAGTATCTGTACTTGGTAGAGTAATCTTTTGGTGCAATGACTAGACCCCGGCCTTTTCTGGCACCGCGATACACAGTCTCAACAATGTCGACAAATTCTTGTTTATCCTTAAGGGCCCAATTGATCTTGTTATTGTTCCCAGTGCCAAGATCAATCATAATGTGCTTGTTCCTGAAGAAGAACATGATGGTGGATGGATCACACAGCTCGTACATCGTGTTAAAATCAGGGACCTCGGTGATGTCAACCAGGTAAATCACAGCAAAGTTCTTGATCGTCTCTGCAACTGAAGACAGCACCTCGTCCATCTGGAGTCGAGAAAAAATACGGAATTAAAACTAAATTTTTACAAGGCAAAGAGTCTTAGACGCGTAAGAAAAGGCAGAAAAGCATAGAGGTGTGCCATGATTTGAACATAGACGAGATCTGCAGCATTTGATATGAAAAATTATCGACGACACACTTGTTACTCTCCCTCCCACAAAGAAATGGAGGAAGCAGGATTACATCACCAACCTGTAATTGTGAACAAATTACCAGCCCACATCAAACAGCTCATGAAAGAGTAACAGACATATTGGTTTTGAGGTAAAGGTTAGTCATACCAGGACCACAGTCTTACGACTCAAATCCCTGATAATGGCGTTATGTGCAGGGAAGAGGAAATGTACTTCAAGAAAAATGTAGCCAATGAACCAATCACTCTTCTTTAAAAAGCACTAATAATGCGTAATCAGTTCAAAGCAATGATTTCAGAATCTATCCACACAGGATGATCCGGAAAATTATAGTAGTGAGATGTGTGGCTCACTTCATTGCTGTTCTCACTTGTTTTTAGGATGTATTACGTTGGGCAAACATTGTTGGAAGATATAATGTAGGATACATAGTCAAAATAAAACATGTAAGCATATCTTAGCATATTACCATTTATAGGTGGATGAGTGAGATGTTATGTTGCTAATTCTAGTCCTATATGATCATACTAGAGCGTCTTTCTGCTTGATTCCACATTTTTGTTGTTTCTACTTGTTCTTTTCTCAATATTTTTCACCATGACTTCTTCGCTACTGTATTTGTTTTACTTGAGCTGAGGGTCTATAGGAAACAACCTCTTCACCTTCGTAAGGTTAGCGGTAAGGTTGCATACACACCAACCTCCTCAGACCCCACTTGTGGGATTACATTGGGTATGTTGTTGTTGTTACTCCGAGCAACAACAAGATTTTGATCATCCCAGTTCATGGTCTTCAACCTCAATAGCAGCTTCTAGCACTTTTACTATCCTCGACTACGCCGTTCCATAATCCAATACCCAAACTTAATCAGTACACCTTATCACCCAATTCACCAAACAAGACCCTACAGATTAACTTCCAAAGAACCTATACTTAAAGTTAATAGATTGACACGAAAAAAGTTTCAAACTAAAATCACCAGTTCACCATTCTCATCAAAAGACAAAAATCACCTGTTCACCACAAAACCATTCAGTTTCCATTACACAATATCTCATTAGACATCTGATTTCGGAGATGGAAAACATATGTAAAACCTGCCTCAAATTCCGCAGGACTTAGATTCCAGACTTATTCGCCACCTGTTGAATTGCAAGCATTTACAAGCTGCCTTTTTTTTTTCTTTTATTACTAGTGCAGGGTAGCTATAAGCAAGAATCAACAACTCTCAAACAGCAAAACTTCTTTTCTTTTTCACAGGCAAAAACAATTTTGAATCACTTACATATATAAACACAAAAGGAACCCAAAACAATACTAGGACACCAAAGGCGGATGTACGTTTTAGGTCCAGGTAAATCTATTTAATATGTACACATTATAAATATAGAACTCAGCAAGTCCAAAAGGCATTAGTTTAGAATCCATAAACATCAAATCCTGGATCCGCCTTTGTTAATACATACCACTTTCAACTCCACATCAAAAGATGGCAAAATTAATTCTGCAGAACTTAATATAGCAATCAATCAGCTACAACTCGACTACAAACTAATTGGGTATCGGTAGTGTGGGTCCTCTATACCCACATATATAAAGGATTCAGCATATTTAGCTAACATCAGACCTACTGCAGCCCTCACCCTTTGTCCGGACTTTGGACGGACCATGCCTTCCATACCTTAGTGCAATTATAATCAGCATAAATAAGCAAATAAAAACTACTATCCCAACACTCTATTTCTCATAAAATATGACACAATCAGGTGATTCAACCCAATAAAAAAGTTGAATCAATAACCTTTTTCAGCCGTAATCAGTTAACCCAACAGGAACAACGAATTCATCAGACGTAGCGTTTCAAATGGACAAACAAGCCCGTCAAAGTTGTCCTTCCAAATAATCACCAATTAATCTAATCTGCTCCATTCTAGCCAATAAAATTTCCTATTTTATCAAGTCATCAATTTAACAGCTTCTATCTAATTCAAAACTAGTTCGAGTCACATGAATCCTCTACAACTGCAAGATTCTTCTTTTCACCAATTACCTATTTCCAGTAATTGCCCATTTATATGTTCAAATGCTTATATGTAATTCTAAACAAGTTGTTGACTATATGAATCCTCTGTATATGTTCCAAGATTCTTCTTTTAGCTAAAAACCAAATAAATTTCATATAAAAAATTTGAAAAAATTGACAATTGTATGTTAAAAATTGTTCATACCATAATTAGTTGAGTCTACTATACGAATCCTCTATACCTATTCCAAGATTCTTCTTTTAGCTAAAAACCCAAATAAAAAAATTCAAAAAATTGACAATTATATGTTAATTGTAAGGTACCTGCATACAAGTATCATCCCAAATTCCCAGTCATGGCCAAATCGAATGATTACAAGGCGTTCTTCTTCAGCAAGAATAGCTTGATCCACTGCCCATCCAGAGTGAAGATGTGGCAACAAATACGACATTTTTATCTATTACTGATTTGATTTTTTTATGCTGAAAAAAAAACAGTGAAGAAGCTGACAGAGAGAGAGAGAAGGGAGAGAAACAGAGAGATGAGAGGTCGACATGAATATTTTTAGGGGTACCAAAAGTGCTACTCCTACAAGTGTCTCGTCGGAAACACGTTATCTCGAAATTAATTATGTTGTTTACTATTCGTAATGTGAGATATAAATAATATCACAATTTTGAAATAGGCATAACGCATAAATATGTCTTTTAACTTGACTTCAAATCACATTTATGCCCTTCAACTTTGGGTATGCACAAGTAGACACTTAAACTTATATAAAGTTGAACAAAACGACACATATGTCCTACATGACATCCTACATGTCATTTTTTGTCCTACGTGGTGTCCTACGTGTATTGTGCCACGTAGGATTCATGTGTCTACTTGT